GTGTGTGTGTGTGTGTGTGTGAGTGTGTGTGTGTGCGCGCGCGCGCGCGCACGCATGTGTTTTTTTGTTTTTGAGACCCAAAATTTGAGATGGGATAAAAAGTAAAAAATAGTATTCCATACATTCCATAAAACTAAAAACTTTTCTGACTCAAAGGATATATAAACAGAATGAGCAAGTAGCCTATAGAATGAGGGAAACACTTCCTAGTCATATATCTGATAAAGGAAAGAGAATATATAAAGTACCCAAGCGAGATAGAGAATATAAAGAGCTCTTACAATTTAATACCATAACCTAATTACCTAATTACTAAATAAGAATTTATCATCAGGGCAAAGGACTGGAACAGGCACATCCTAAATATACAAACAACCAGAAAGCATGTGGAAATAGTTTCAACATCACCGGAGGGATGCTGTCTGTCTGCTGTAGTTTGTATAAAAGGGTAACTGCTACAATAAACACCAGTCTAAAAGTACTGGTGGAGTGAATGTATGGTTCAGCTATTTCACTTCTGGGTATACATCCAAAAGAATGGAAATCAAGGCCTCAGATACCTGTACACAGTGTTCATAGCAATGTTCAGAGTATCCACGGTAGTGAATAGACCTTAGTAGATACTTTCAAGGGATTATCACTTGACATGAAAGGGAAGAAATTTGTAACAAACTTTCCAACATGGATGCTCCTCAGAGACTTTGTGCTGAGTAAGCCAGTCACAGAAAGGGTGAGTAGTACATGACTACACTCAGCTGAGGTGTCAGAAGAGCCAAATTCCTAGAAAGAGGAAGTGGTAGTTGTTGGGGAGAGCTGGGAGGAGAGGACACTGGGAATTGTCCAATGTGGGCAGTGTCAGTGCTGCGACACACGGGTTCTGTAGATTCATTGCCCAACCATGTGGACACATTTGGCACTAATGAACTCTGTACACAAGTAACTAAGCCAGTGAATTTCACAGGAAGTAGTTTTCATCCAAGCTCCTAGTTTCAAAGAGGCTACACCATTAGACGAACACCACACAACGCTCAGCATGGAAGCAAAAACCAGCTCCTTTAACAGTTAGTTTTTTTGTTGTTTTGTTTGTTTGTTTGTTTTTCGAGACAGGGTTTCTCTGTGGCTTTGAAGGCTGTCCTGGAACTCGCTCTTGTAAACCAGGTTGGTCTTAAACTCACAGAGATCCACCTGCCTCTGCCTCCTGAGTGCCAGGATTAAAGGTGTGCACACCACTGCTAAAGACAGGATTTTACTATGTTACCTTTGCTGTCCTGGAACTCTGTGTAGACCTTGAACTCACAGAGACCATCTGCCTTTGCAAATCTCTGGGGTTTAAGGTGCACACATACTACCAACGCTGGGGAGTTGACAATGTTTATTCTCTCCTGAAAACTAGCTGGATTTTTAAAGTTTGCTGATTAGATTAGAAAGTTCAAAATAAGAGGTCAGAGAGTTGGCTCTGAGGATAAGAGCACTAGCTGCTCTTCCAGAGGACCCCGGTTCAAGTCCTAGCACCTACCAGGAGGCTTCCAACTGTTTATAACTCCTTAGGGAACCCAACACCCTCTTCTGGTCCCCATGGCATTATGCATACTCATGGTTCACAGGTAACAGGCAGACAAAACACATACATATAAAAATAAATCAAATTTTAAAAATTAAAAGAAAAAGAAAGCACAAAAATCAAATCTTCATAGTCATTTTTTGTTCTTTGTATTTGTTTTTGTTTGTTTGTTTGTTTCTTTGTTTTTTGGACAGGGTTTCTCTGTGTAACCACCATGGCTGTCCTGGAACTCACTTTGTAGACCAGGCTAGCCTTCAACTCACAGAGATCCACCTGCCTCTGCCTTCCAAGAGCTGGGATTAAATGCCTGTGCCACCAATGCCAGATTTGTTTCTTTTTTTAAGAGAAAGAAAATGCCACATTTTTTTGAGGATGAAGCCATGCCTACTTAGGAGCTGGCTACATGACAATAACAAGGCTCTTACCTATAGTAGACTATGGCTGTTTTCTCACCTTCAAAATCTTTGACTGGAGTTGCATTAGTTCATCTGTTCTTCTACGTTCTTTGAGTCTGGTAAGCATCTTCTTCTGCCAGGGATCACACTTCGGCTTGACCTAGTGGATGAATGTGTACATGGGCCTCGATGGAAGTCACACAGAGAAAGACCCGAGAACCTGCCAAAGTGGATCTATGTCCCTGCTTGGAGGTTTGCCTGGGTCTGCATGAGTTACAGGGCTGCGAAAGAAGGCAACAGTCCTGTTGGCATTTGGCCTATGCCACAAAGGAGTTCCATCTGGACTCTGCTGTGCAGGCCACAGGCAGGAAGGAGCCTAGAGCTGCTGGCACTGGGGACATCGTACTGCTGTAGCAGAGGGGAGACCTCACCACAGAGTCTTGAGGACTCGCCATTTAAAGCTTCACCTTTCCTCTTAAGAAATCATCTCTAAACTTAGCTCCATGGCTACACATTCCATCATCCACATGCTGAAAATTCTCAAACTCATATCTCAACACAAATGGGTGTGTTCAGCTTTCTACCTGCAGACTCCTTCAGGCCACCTGTGGTCAAGATTATCTAGGAATGTAGCCATACACAAAAATGATAAACTCACTTAAAAAACAGATTTCTTTTTGTAACACAGTTGTACAGCTCCCAAGCACAGACTCTGTAGATGACAACGCCATGTTTTAGTGTCAGAAGGGTTGGACACTCCTGACTGCTCTGCCCAAGTACATCCGTGATGTCTATGTTTGGGGTTAATTCTAAGACACAGGTTTGCTCCACCTACATTGCCTGAGTTCAGGCCCCAGATGGAGGACAATCTTTGGTTTCTTTCAGCCCACTTTCTGGGTGACCTGTGTCTCTCCAAGATTCATGTTGAAACCCACCCCACAACATGTTTGTAAGCAAGTGCAACTTGAGAGTGGCCTCTGTTGAGGACAGGCAGCCTGTCCCCTAGGTCCTAGGGGACAATTTGCTCTGGGTACAAAGGAGAGGGAACAAAAGGGAAAAGGAAAACCTGGTATTGCCAGAGTGCTTGCTCAGTTGGATGGAAGGTTTTAGCATTGCTGCCACCACGGGCAGGTGCCGGTTCCTGCAGCCTCCTAACCTTCACGAAGGGAATCCAGGTTGCTCTCTTTTTCAGGGTAGTAGCAGGTCCTGACAAATTCTGCACACTGGCTCTCCCAGCCTCGTAGTCTGGGAATGTTCGCATCCTTTGCTGCTCCATGAAGATGCTCTGGAAGCTCTGAGAAACCTAAAGAGGATTAAGGGGAGAGGGATGGGACCTTCCCAGAACCCCCAGCCTCAGTATAGCTGGTACAGAGCTACAACCATGGGCTTTCAGAAGGTGCCCACTTAGACAAATTGCTCCAAAGGCATACCTTTTGTTTTCTTCTTTCATCATCTATTCTAAGTAGGCTTTCCCTAGCACTCCAGGCTTCACTCTCTGTCTAAAGCTGACCTCCCCACATGTGGTAGCTTGTCTACCACATTGCTGGCCTCTGTGCCTAACTCCACGTTACGGCATTTACTTTCTTTTCTCTACCTTCCTTCTCAGGCAGATGCTGAGATTTATAGCTTGTCTGTTCTGGAGCTTTTCTCTTAAATGCCAATTAAAATTGAAAGGAGAGGGGGAGGGAGGAAAAGGAAGGGGAAGAAGGGAAGGAGAGGAGGAGGAAGAAGAGAATGGAGGAGAGGGCGGAACGGAGTCGTGCGTCCAAGCATGAGGACCTGAGTTTGGATCCCAACACCTATGTTAAAATACAAACACAGAAACCAAAGGAACAAACAAAAACCAGCCATGACCGCATGTGTGTAACCCCATCACTATTGGGTTGGGAGATGGGAGGTTCACCGAGTCTTGCTGGCCACCAGCCCAGCTCCAAGTTCAATGGGAGACCCTGTTTCAAGGAATAAGGGAAGGTCAGGATGGATCAGGACACCAACTTCCTCCTCTGGTCTTCACACATAGGCACAGGCCTGCATTGCAGACACGCATACATGTTTACCACACACACTCACACATACAAAAGAAAAAAGGAGGAGAAAGGAAGTAGAGCCCAAGGAAAAGACTTCAGATCTCAAACAGCTACTGAGCCTCTCTCTCTCTCTCTCTCTCTCTCTCTCTCTCTCTCATACACACACCCCTTTACCTTTTAGGTTTTCTTTTATGTACATGGATATTTTGCCTGCATGCATGTCTATGTGCCACATGTGTTCATGCCCTAGGAGGCCAGAAAAATATGTCAGATTCCCTGCGGCTGGAGTTATAAGTGGTTGTGAACCACCATGGTTCTGGGTGCTGGGAATCAAATTTAGGTTCTCTGGAAGAGTAGCCAGGGCTCTTCATTGCTGAGACATCTCTCTAGCCCCTACTGACTGTCTTCGAAATAGCCCTGGATAGGAACTGACTCAAGAAGAGGTCTTTGTTATGACAGTACTCAACGTGGACACCTCTGTGCATTATCATGGCCAGTGTGTGTCACCTGTGCTGAATTTCTGCTCCAAGATCGGAAGAACATTAACACATCCACTGGTATAAATTGAGTTGGACTTTAAATATAAGCAGGAAGTAAACTCCCCACCTCTGGAAGAGATTCCGGTTTCTGACCACCTGGTAAACTAGAACATCTAAGGTTTAAATAAATCCTCTCTCAGCAGCCTAAGAGATCTCCAGTGAGAAGAGTCTAGATGCTACATTGTCAGTACTTGAGGTACCTGCCTTATTCCCTCACCTCTCACCCCTTCTCACCTCTCACCCCCACCCCTCACCCTTCACCTCTCAGCCCTCACCTCTCACCAATCACCTCTCACCTTTCACCTCTCACCCCCACCCTCACCCCTCACCTTTTACCCCTCACCTCTCACCCTTCACCTCAGGTGGAGGCCACAAGGCTAACTTCCTATTGCCAGCGCCTTCCTCCCCACTGGTGCTCAGACACAGTGCACTATGACAGTTACCCAGCAACGTGAAACTTCTCAAAACCACTTAACAAGAGTGAAATGGTAAATGACATGTCATGCAAATGTAACCCCATACACATGCATACACGCACATCCATGTGAAGAACTTACCTACCACACTGGGCTGCAAAACCTCAGCAAAGAAGTCTGCATGTTTGTGAGTTTCAGAGCTGAGGATTCTTCTGAGGGGTGGATGGTACCACACCGTTGCCTCTAGCCATGTGTGGTTGGTTATCAATATTTCATTATAAGTTGGTTAAAATTAAGCTAACAGAAACTTTTAGTTTCTCACTTGCACTAGTTACATTTCATATGCCCAACATTTATGTATGACAAGTAGACACAGCATGGCCTTGGACACATCCATCCTGGCAGGGTTCACAAGAGATACTAGTCTAGGACTGGGCTGCACAATTATTCTTAACGGGTCAGACAGCTAATATTTCAATTTTTGAAGATCACAACTACACAAGTTTGCCACTGTGGTATGAAAGTAGCCCCAAATAACACATAAACGGGCATGAGGCTGCTGGCATTTGAATATTTGTGTTTCCACAAAATTAGTGTGTTGAAATCCTAACCCCCGAGGTAAATGGACTTGGAGAAGGCACTTGGGGTGTAATTAGTTCTTATGAATAGGATTAGGCCTTAGGAGACCTTTGCCCTTCTACTAAGGAAGGCACATACACACAAAGGCAATATCTATGAACCACAAAGTGAGCTTTCCCCAGGTGCCAAATCTGCCTTGACTGCGACAATTGCACCCATCAAGACAGTAAGAAACAGTTGGTTTAAGCCCTCAGTTTGTAGCCTATTGTTATAGTAGTTGGGATGGACCAAGACAGCTGGATGTCAATAGAGCTTTATTTTGGACAAACAGGTGGTGGGCTGCAGGCTGCAGTTGGTTGACTCTGGCCTACAGCATTAAAGCACTAGGAAAAATAAAACCTAAACACACACAAACACCCATGCACACACACAAACACTTATGCAAACACACACACAAACACACATGAACAAACACAATACACACACACACACACCCAAACACATACATATACACAAACACACACACAAACATAAACACAAACACACACAAACACATATACATACAAACACATATACACACAAACACATACACACACAAACACATGCACACAAACACACATGCACACACACGCAAACACACACACATACATACAAACACACAGACACATACATACACACACAAACACACACACAAGCACACACACAAACACAAATACACACAAGCACACACATATATACACAGACACACACAAGCACTGGAATGTGACTGATCATCTTGGGAGCACAGCTAATTGCTCTCAGAAAATCAAAACTATGAACTGCTATTGTCATGAAAGGACATAAGCTGCTCTTTGGGAGGAAGGCTGCTTTGTTGGGGTGTTCAGGGCCTCACATTCTTTTATCATTGGTTACATAAAAAGAACAAAAGTTCTGGGCACTGTGGTACACATCTGGAATCCCAGTACTTGGGATGCTGAGGCCAAAGGACTGTGGGTTTTGTAGCCAGCCCGAGTGTACTGGCTAGTTTTATGTCAAGTTGACACAAGCTAGAGTCATCAGAAAGGAGGGAGCCGCAATTGAGAAAAGCCTCTGTAAGATCTGACTGTAGGCAAGGTGATGGACATTTCCTCCTTAATAATTATTAGGTTCCAAGTGGGCCCCCAGATGGCAGTGCTGTTGTATCCTAAATGACAGTCTGGGCTCAACTGAGGATGGACTCTGACTGACCACGTAAACAGAAGGACTGCTACCTAAACTCAGCATTCTTCAGAAACCTTATAAAGCACGATTCTGTTTGTCCCTTATCGGCCTCCTACAGACAACTATCTCTGCCACTGAAGCATCTAGTTCCTGATTAACTCAAACATGCCTGTGACAGATCAAAGTTCCCATGCTCGCTCCCAGGCTGTTCTGACTCGTACCCCCACCCCTGGCTGCTACCTATTTCCTTAAAAAACTGGCAAGGCTTTTGTGCCTGTTTGCTGTTCTTTCTGCAAGCCCTACCCTCAGAGACTGTATTGGTAGCATTATCCCCAATAAACCTTCCTGTCTACCCATGGAGTAGTCTATTTCAGGGATTTCACTGTATTTCTTTCTGACAGTGACTGATGGGGGAAGGGCCCAGCCCATAGCAGGTGGTGCCATCCCTGGTGTGGTGGTCCTGGGTTCTATAAGAAAGCAGATTGAGCAAGCCACAAGGAGCAAGCCAGTAAACAGCACCGCTCCATGGCCTCTGCAGCAGCTGCTGCCTCCAGGTTCCTGTGTGAGTTCCTCCTTGGCGTCCCTCAATGGACTGTGGTCCCGAAGTGAAGCCGAATAAACTCTTTCCTCTCCCAGTTGCTTTTGGTTGTGATGTTTCATCACAGCAACAGTAACCTAACCAGGACACTGGGCTACATAAGAGAATGTCAGAAGGAGTGGGTAAGGAGGAGAAGAAAGGGGTAGAGCAAACAGGATGGAGGGAGGAGGGAGTACAGAAATTGAGGAAGAGGCCGCAGAAGGAGGAGGAGGGGAGGCAAAACTACACACAACCATCTTCGAAGAAGCCAGAGGAACGAGATCGTGCCAGGTCCAGAAGAATGTGTTACAGACAAAACAATGCAGTCCTGGTAAATGATGCTGGCATGAAAATAAATGCAAGACTGTCCTCGAGGTCATCTCTCTACCAAGTGAGCTCTGTCCCCAGCACAGGCACGGGGCATCCGAAGAGAAAGTGGGGACCTCACATCCCAAGGTCATTCAAAAGGCCCAGGTTAGATTCCATCCTCTTCAGGTCACCAGCTTATCATTTTTATCTTGCAAACAATATACAACTAGAGCTAGCAACATATCTCATTGTTGAAAGTATACTACTGTGGTTTTTTAAATCTTCAGCTCTGTATCCACCACCCAATTTTTCCCCTTTGAAGGGAGTCTTAACATGGCTTTTGATACTATGAGGTTTTCTGTTTAAGAAAGTGCAGTACAAGGTTACAGTGGGAAGGGGGCAGGACAGCATCCCTCAGAACACGCAGTGTGCTCGATCAGGTATAACCTTATTTAGTATGTTAGGAACACTGCGATCCCTTCTTAGATTCAGAGGGCTACACGTGCTTGACAGCACTTCCAGGCATGTCCATCTAACCTGGAGTACATTTACATCTTCAGGCTATATCCTCCCACCTTTTTCTTTAAAATCTTCAGGGGAAAAAACAAAAGGTAAAATCTCTCTGGTTTACTATTGTCAGAAGGTCTTGTTATTCTTGTTGAAAGGAAGCTCCTCCCAACCAGAAGGTGGATTGAAACTATTGTACCTTCTACTGGAGAAACAAGCATTGGCATAAGGAATAAACAACTTTGTGTCAGACATGGCAGCACACAACCTGCCTGTAACCCAGATACTAGGGAGGTAGAGGCAGGATGATGGAAGTTTAAGGGCAAGGCCAGCCTGTACTACAAGAGATCCTGTCTCAAACAAACAGACAAGCAACGTTGTAGCAAATACTATCGCTTTCGACCAACCATTCATAAGTATAGTAAGAGTGCACTATGTACCAAAGAGAAGAGTTCCATCTCCTTGGCGGAGTCACTCAGCTTTTGTAAGTCATAGAGGACGTGGAAATGCGAGAGCAGGTGCCTCAGCTGAGGTTTTAGTTGTTCCTTTTCTGTCACATGCTGAGGCAGGACAAACGTAGCACGTGTTCTTCCTGGCCCTGAAAAATATCCAAAATCAAGAGCTGGAAGACAAGAGAGTGCATCAGAGAAACAGTAGCCTTGGAGAGAGTTGAAAGCAAGCCCTCTGCTGGCAGAGAGCCTTTCTGCTCTCCCCATGGCAGCAGGCATCTTACCTGGCTGGGCTTTCAGGCCAGCCAGTCCCCAGCCCCCACTGAGCTTTCTTTGGGAAGGTGCAAGGACTCCTCACAATCTTACAGCCAGCAAAAGAAGCCCACTAGACAGAGAAGCCCACTAGACAGAGAAGCCCACTAGACCTCTCGGGGACTGTCTCGGTGGGGGTACTGGCTACTTTTGTATGCCAACTTGACCCTTGACACAAGTTAGGGGCATCAGAGAGGGAGGAGCCTCAGTTAGGGAAATGGCCCCATCAGATCCAGCTGTAAGGCATTTTCTCAGTTAGTGACTGGTGGAGGGAGCCCTGCCCATGATGGATGGTGCCAACCCTGGGCTGGTGGTCCTGGGTTCTACAAGAAAGCAGGCTGAGAAGTCATGAAAAGTAGGCCAGTATGCAACCCCTCCATGGCTTCTACATCAGCTCCTGCCTCCGGGTTTCAGCCCTGCTTGAGTTCCTGTCCTGACTTCTTCCAATGATGGAGTAGAATGTGGATGTAAGTCAAATAAACCCTTTACTCCCAAACTTGCTTTTAGGTCAAGGTGTTTTTGTCACATCAATGGAAACCCTCACTAAGACAGTGGGGCCACCCTATCTGTGGTCCTGTGGTAAGTGAATTATGGCAGTGACAAATTAACCAGCACCTCCATTTGCTTCTCCTGAAGAATCAAGAAGCCTTTCTTGTCCCCACCACTGGGGTTGGCTGCCTGTCCAGGTGGTGCTCCTGGGACATCCTGTATATAATGGGATGTCACTCAAGTGCCCGAAGAGCAGAGACCTGACCAGGCTTCTCAGTTCTCTGTAACATAAGGTAAGGTTAGAGAGGCTGTGAAATTGGCTCTGACGTAAATTCCCTGGCAACTGTGAGATACTAAATTGTGTAACACTAAAATGTGTGACACTGAATTGTGTGACACTACATTGTGTGACACTGAATTGTGTGACACTAAATTGTGTGGTATTAAATTGTGCAATACTAAATTGTGTGATATGGATTCTTAGAGGTCATTTCATCTGGAAGGATTAATATGGAAATGAGTAAACAAAGGCCAGAGAAAGCAACCTGCATGACCATGACCATGTGAGCCCACAACAGAAACGAGCCTAGAGGCCAGGACACTTGCTTCTTAAAGTGATAGTGCCAAAGATGGAGATAAATGTCTATGCTACTGTCTTCCATCAGGAAATATTAATATTAAATTGAAATTTATTACAAAGATGTAACTTCTTGGCATATAGGAAATGTTCCAGAAGATTGTGAGACAAAAAAGGGTGTGAACAAAACCACAGCCCTCCTTTCTCCATTCTATCCTAGTAAGGGCCAATTTCTTACCTGAAATGCTGGCATCCATAGGACCAGGAGATTCAGAGTTAAGGTCAGCGACACAGACTTTTTCTTTTTCCTTTTCCTCACTAAGTTCAGAGACTTGGTTATCAGCTGGACTCTGCAGGGCTCTGGAGATGGGCACGTACTGGAGAACCTACAGAGACATGGCCAACAGCACACAGGTCAGCCCAGTGTTCATAGACTCTGAAGCTGGTGTGGAAGGAGCCCTGGGTGGGACCTTAGAAACCTGCACAGTGACAGAGGGCAGAGCTGGGAGACACAACCGCTTCCAACTCCAAAGTCCCTCCCCCTCCAGCCAGTCCCGCAGTGGTCACATACATGGGTGGAAAAGACACTGTGTGGGATGCTCAGGGTGTGAAGAAAAGGGATCGGTTTAAGTGGAGGATCCAGATTTAGGAGCATGTGTTTGTACTGTCATGTGACTGAGGAGAGGAAGTACAGCCCACAGTGGCTGCCGGCTTTGGGAGGGGATGGACCTGGATGACCACCAGGTTTCTGGAAATGAGATCAAGTTGCTTTTGTGTGTGTGTGTGTGTGTGATTTTCTAACCTGACAGGATCCCTCCCATGCAACACTTTTCACCCCATTACTCTCCCTGAGCACTCTCTCCGGCAGTGCTGGGGCAGAATGCTGGCCCTACTCAGGCCATTGTACATATTCTACTCCTGAGCTGTTACAGTCACCTTACTATTTATTTTATTATTGGTCATTATTATTTTCTGAGACAAGTGTTCATTGTGGATGAGGCTAACCTCCAACTCACTGTGGAGCCCAGGTTGGCCTCAGAATCAGGACTCTCCTGACACAGCCACTAGGGGGACTGGGATGAGGCAGCATCGCCATGTCCAGCCCAGCTCTTCTTTCTTACCCCATCATATCGTAATAGAATTTTACTTACCCTCTTCCCACCAGGTCAGGACCCTTGACTTTTCAGCCAAGGCCAGGTCTTTGCTGTGTGGGCCTAGGGCAAGTATCCTGACATGCTTTCATCATTAAATACTGCCGATTAAGAGTGTGTCCAGAGCCAGGTGGTGGTAGCTCACACATTTAATCCCAGCACTCAGGAGGAAGAGGCAGGCAGATCTCTGTGAGTTTGAGGCCAGCCTGGTCTACAGAGCAAGTTCTAGGATAGGCTCCAAAGCA